TTCACTGGTCTACATCATCTGATAGCCGCCAGGAGCCAATGAGTTAACAGGCTTACAACCTGAAGGAAGGCTTAGAGGGTAAGAGCTTTCTGCTCTTCCACAGGGGCTACACGGTGGTTCACAACTATCAGTAACTCCATTTCCAAGGGATTTGATACCTTCTCATAGCCTCCTAAGATACTGCATACATGTGGTACACAGAAATACATACAGGTAAAACAGTTACATACAAAAAATAGTAAAAATAATCTTTAAAAACATGCTTAAAGCTGACATGTAGTGATTAATAAACGTTGATAACTTTATGTTTTATGATCCCTCATATTCTTTTGTTTTTTGGTTCTTGTTTTTCAAATAGGACCTCATGTTGCCCAGGTTAGCCTTAAACTCACTATGTTATCAAAGCTGCCCTTGCATTTCTGACGTCCCTGCTTTCACCTCAAACATGCTAGAATTATAATCATAGGCCATTCTAACTCAACTCCTTGTCCTCTTTCCAAAAGGACTGGGATATTTATGTTTCAACTATTTTGTTGTTGCTTTTAGAAATAAAAGTACAGCATGTGACATTGCAGTCCAACAGGAAGAAACGGAAAGAGAACCAAGACAAAAATTTTAAAGCAACAAGCAAAATAATACCATATGGGTACAGTGGTGAAAGGTGATGGAGACACACCCATGCACAGACAGGCCGCCTAGAGGACTCCAGGCCTGTGGAAGGTGGGAAGCAACAAGTCTAAGTCTTCATACTTAGAACAGTCCGGGTAACTCTAGACTTGCCCAAACAGGGTAACAAGCTCTAATTCCTTGCCCTTAAAGGGATTTCATATACTATTCATATTTTAAACAATACTTTTATAACCAGGCCCCTTCCAAAAGCTATTTTATAAAAGGAGAAACTAAATTTGAGGCTTTGGGGAATGGTCACAAAGCTGCCTCCAGGGATCAGCAATAGCATGGTTTCCTACAATCAGAAGCCCTTTCTTCTGCCCAAGACAGGGCTTTTAACTTGTACTGTTCCCAAAGACCATTTCCTTCAGTCCCCTTCTCCCTTCTACCCCAAATGCTTTCCAGCTAATGAACTGGCTGAACACCCTGGCTCGGCAGTGTCCCTCACTACCCAATCCAGACTTTCTAACCTCCTCACCCACTCCTCTTTGCAAACTCTCCTCTAGCTAAGCCAACTACTGTGTCCAGAACATACTATTCAGGCATGAAAGTTTTTTGTAAAGGGGCTAGAGAGATGGCTCAGCAGTTAAGAGAACCATCTGCTCTTGGAGAGGTCCTGAGTTCAATTCCCAGCAACCATATGGTGGCTCATAACCATCTATACTGGGATCTGATGCCCTCTTCTGGCATGCGGGTATATATGAAGATACAGCACTAATCTACATAAGATAAATAAATCTTCAATAAAAAAATATTTTTGTAAACACCATTATCTTTTTTTATTTGTGTAGTCTTGGCTGTCCTGGACTTGCTTTATAGACTAGGCTGGCCTCGAACTCAAAGAGCTCTGCCTGCTTCTGCCTCCCAGAATGCTGAGATTACAGGCGTGTGCCACCATACCTGGGAAACACCATTATCTCTTAATTTCCTTATACATTTTTCATTCTATTGTGTCTCTGTGTGTGTACATGTAGTGTATTCGGGTCTGTGTACCTGGAAGGCCACAGACTGATATCAGTTTTCTTATTCTATCACTGTTCCCTGGGTTTTTCTGAGTCAAAGTTTCTCCCTGAACCTGGAGCTCACCGTTGCAGCTACGATCTCCTAGCCAGCAAACCCCTAGAATCTACCCATCTGTACCCCAGCACTAGATCACAGGCCCAGGGCTTCAGCTGGCTTTCTGCATGTTTACTGGGGATACTGAGGCCCCTGCTTTACCAAGTAGACCATCTTCCCAATCCTACTATCATCATTCATTTATTCATTCATCTATTCATCCATTTATTTATTTATTTACTTACTTATTTTTTATTTATTTGGGATTGCGGTAAACATAAAATCACCATTTTAACCATTTAAAAATGTACAACTAAAGGCATTTTATTAAATTCATAGTGTGGTACAACAAATGTCATAATGTTCAACAACATTTTACCACCCCAAGGAAACCCCAAACTCATAATGACATTTTCTGAGCTTCCTCTGATCCCTAAGAAATCCTACCTCTGTAGATGTGCCTATCTGAGATATCTTCTGTGAATGGAGCCATACAGTATTACATACATTGAGTGCCTGGCTTTCTTCCTCTAGCACAAGTTTTCAAGATATATACGTGGAGTATGTATCAGAATTTTGTTCCTCTTAGGGTAAATAATAGTAGTTCCCTCTGGTCCAGTTTCACTTTATATGCATTCGATTACTAACAGTCAATTTCCATCTGAAAATAAATGGAAAATTACAGAAATAAGAAATTTATAAGTTTTAAATTGTGTACTATTCTGAGCGGTGTGACAAAATTTCCAATCATTCCTCAACAGCATACTCAATGTAAAAATTATCACTTCATTTAATGGATCCACACTGTATACTACTTCTCTGCTAGTTCTACAATGGAAGTAGTGAGCTATTGGCACACAGCAGAATTTCACAGCATAATTTAGATTGACTTCAATAGTTTTATTTTCTTATATTAGCCATTAATGCTTCACAAATCACTGAGGAATGCCTTATGGTATAGATTATATCCCTTATCCTTTTTGGAGATCTAATGCACTGTTGTCTTTTGGCCTAAGCTATTAGAACTGCCACTGTACAAATAGTCCCACTGCTTTTACCTTACTATCTATAGTCTATCTTACTATCTACTGTGGCCCCTGTGGTTCTATTAACAGAAAGCTGACATTTGTCCTGTACTTCTCTTAGATAAAAGCTAAAGCCCATTCAATGGGCTTTAAGGTCACAGACATTTTTTTTACCTGCCTGATTTTATGCACTACCACTTTCTCCCACATGCTCACTCAGAGCTGCCTCTTCTCTTTCTTAGACAGTCTGTGCATGCTTCTGCCTTCCTTCTTTCCATCAGCTGTGTTATCCCCAACAGAGCTCAACAGCTTACTCTTTCAGCACTAAAGGCCAAGTGTCACCTTCTCAGAGTCCTACCTTACTCACTGCCATTTAAAATGTCAAGCCCCGCCTCTTAGTAGCACTCAACATCCTCCTGACCCTGCCCTATATTCTTTCTAAACAGTCACCATCTAATACAAGAAATACTATATTTCCTATGCTTGCTGTCTTCTATCATTTCTTTTCCAATGAAAGCTAAGTATAGTGTGGCCATTAAAGAAACAAGGTAGATGTTTCTCAAAAACATTTAAAATAAAATCACCATATTCCTTAGCAAAACTAAAGCCCAAACGGGAAAACAGCAAACCTTGCCCTTACTCCAGTCCAGCATCTGGGATGATGCGGTGAGATGGGCAGCCCTTCCCTTGCAGTTTTGTTGTTGGTAGCAGGGACCCTCTCTCTTAGAGCAGCTCCAGCCCATGCCTAGAGCTTGATTTGGTGGATATCCCATGGTTCTGACATCTGAAATTTGGTGGTCTTCTTCAAAGTTTCATGCAGTAGACTCTCAGGGTCTTCTTGCAGTTGACTTCTTAAAGTCAACTGGGCCACATACTGCCTACCTCAACATCTCTCTAAAACTATGGCTTAGAGATCCCCTCAAATCTTATACCTTTCATGCTTGCAAAACCAGTACCACATGGGTGGCACTACCAAGTTCTGCTGCCAGCTTAGGATGGAGCTGGCCACACCGAAGCAGAGCTGCCTCAGCCTTCCCAGGCTGACCCTGGAAGACACATCCCTGGAGGGTTGCTTTGCACAGAGGATCCGTTGCAGCATTCTCAGTCTAGGTTGTCTCCTTCAAATGAATTTACATTTTTGTGAGATGGAGCCTCCAATGAGTGGTCCCACCCTCCAGGCATTTTCCTATTGTTCCAGTGCAGGTACCAGGTTTCTCTTTAATGGTATGATTCTCTTTAATAATGACAGCTATTTTTAAATGGCCTGGGCTTTAGCTATGAACTGGCGCACACTCTTTTCCTTGCCAAACGGTAGTATTTTCATCATTCTGTTTCACCTGTTGTTCTCTCTCACTGTAAATCTGGATTAAGTACTGAGCACAAACTGAATGTTATCTTGTCTTAAATTTTCTCTGCCAAACAAATTATTCCATTACTTTTCAGGCTAGTCTCATACAAGTTCTCAGTGCACAAACAAAATAAAGTCTGATTCTTTGCCATAATATAACATGAAAAGCCTCTAGTTCAGTTCTACCCAGGGTCCTTGTTCCTTTCTGAGTTCATGAAACTTCCACTTGTCTGCATTTTTCTCAGTATTTTGGTCTTCCAAGCTCCCACCAAAATGTCCCATTGATCTCTGGTTACATCATTCTATAGCTTTTTCAGCCCAGTTGAAGATTCTTCTGACATTTCCTCCTGCAAGCCAGGACCAAAGACCTACAAACCATATGGTCAGGGTTACCATAGCAACAAGTGCACTTCTTTCACCCCCTAGTACCACTATTCTGTATTATAGTTATTTGTCTGTTGCTGTGACACATGCACATACACATGCACACACACATACACACAAAAGCCTAATGTAAGGAAGGAAAGGCTTGTTTGGTTTGGTTTGGTGTGGCGTGGCGTGGCATGGCGTGGCGTGGCGTGGTGTGATATGGTGTGGTGTGGTATGGTTTCAGAGATATAGGCCACTGAAATGGGAAGAAATGGAGGCAATCTCCTGAAGTTACTGGTCTCACAGAATCTATTCAAGAAGCAGAGAGATAGACCCTGGCAGCCAGTTTGTTTTCTCCTTCTGATTTAGCCTAGGACGTCTGCCCTTTGGATGCTATGGCCTATATTCTGGATGGGCCTTCCCACTCATTAAATCTGGGTATAGACTCCCTCAGACATGTCCAGAGATGTATCTGCTAGTTGATTCTGTCCCCTGTCAAATGAGAATATTCGCTGCCACATGGTAGCGCAGTAATGCAGGTATAGAAGAAAGCAAGTCAGAGTTAATGTCTCGCTTATTTCTGGAACCTAAAGAATGTTGAACTTAACAAACAGATGGTGATTTCCAGATACCAGAATTTAGGAGCAATTTAGGTCAAAGAATACAAACCCTTGGCCAAATGAGAATACGTTCAAGAAAACGATTCTCTAAGGCAGGGTTTATAGATGATATATACCTGAAAATTGATGACAAGGGGGCACAGTGGTACAAACTTTCAGTTCCGACACTCGGGGGCAGCCTGGTCTACAACAGGCCAGCAAAAGCGACAGAGTGAAGCCCTGTCTTTATTTTCTCTCTTCGGAGCTGAGGACCTTGCGCTTGCTAGACAAGTGCTCTACCACTAAATCCGCAACCCCAAGGACCTACCTTTAAAACAAAAGAAGAAACAGAGAGACAGGAAGACAAAGAGACAGAGAAACAGATAAGAAACTGCTAAGACAGTAGATCTTAAATATTCTCAATATAAAAGGAAGATTAACCATGTGTGACAACATTTACTATTTAATCATTTCAATGTATGCATTTCAAAGCAATATACTGTGTATAACAAATACATGTAACTTGTATTTACTGGTTAAAAATGAGAATAAGAGAATTTTGTATTCCTTAAGATTATCAAGTTATCTCTGGTGTAAATTGGGCTCTGTAAGCACTACCTGAGGAAGGGCCTGCACATAAAGAGGCTGCCACTTGAAACTGGTCCTGGGCTTGCCACATCCTCGCAGTCCCATCTGGCCCACTTGACTCTGCTTTCTGTTCCTACACTTCTGAGTGTGTGATGCTTCTTTCCGTATCGTTTTGTTTACTTCCTGGCATAGTACAAGACTTTCCTACAGTATCATATAATGCTTCCCTCAGTACAGTACTCAAGCATATATGTCATATAGTCCACAGAAACTACTACCTATTCTATTTGTTCTCCAACAGATAATCTCTTTGCACACAGAAGATTCCAGTAAATGACTCTGCATTAAGGAGATTCTTTGGTATTTTTTCAACATTTTTTTTCCTTCTTGGACCCCACTACTACCAGTGGCCACCAACCATACTGGAAAAGCCCTGTCCCCTCTTTTGTTACCTGTCCAATATTTCACAATGAATATCAAACATTACGATGACTCTAATGATAATCACTGACAATACCACTGCACATCTGGTCCTTCAGCATAGAACTAGAATATTAATGGGTGTATTTTATAGAGCATAGGTTTCATAGCTGACTAGCTCCTGTTCTTTTAAATACAAAACTGCCACATTCCTGAAGCTTACACTTTGGTAATAGTGAAAGTGTTATCTTTGCAGATGAATGTGCATACTGTACAATATGTTTCCCAGTTTTGCTACACTTACTTAGAGTCTGACTCGAGCATGCATTTGTTGCCTAAGTATATGCTATTTATGAGTTTGAAATTTCTTAAGTTCTTCCTGCCCGAATTCTGTTCAGTTGGTTCTTCAATGACTCAGCATAAACTGAATTTTAACTTATAACTAACCTCCCCCCCCCCCCATTTCCTTTAAGGGTAGATAGAAGGGTCATATCTTACCACTAATCTAACTCTTCCAGGTGGTTCAGAGAGATGGTTCATTAGGTAAAGGCATTTGCCATAAATCTTGACATCCTGAGTTAACTCCACAGACCCATATGATAGGAGAGAAGCAAGTCCTACAAGCTGTCCTCTGACCAACATGTGCATCCATGTGTACACACAAACACAAGACAGAGTGACACACAGAGAGATACACCATAAATGGATGTCATAAAAAACTTATGCTCTTGTAGGAATTCTTACCTTTCTTCAAATTCTGCGACACTTAGCTATACTGTCCTCAATACTGACTGCACAGTGTAGTGAGAGGCTACACTGACTGCGATTGCTCTCCCCGAAAGACTGCAGGACTGCTGTTCCACACTGTATGGGGAGGGAAGGCTCAAGCTGGTGATGTTGGACATGGGGAAAAAACTATGAGGGCTTACATACTGGACAACAACCTTTGGAAAGAGTGGCAGACTATAGTAGAGAGCTGGGAATCCTGTCACTAAAGAATTCCTGAAACGGACCAGCTGGTGGTGGCATATGGCTTTAATCCCAGCACTTAGGAGGCAAAGGTAGATGGGTTCCAGGCAAGCCTGGTCTACATAGTGAGTTACAGGATAGCCATGGAAACACTTTCTCAAAATAACCAAAAAAACCAAACAAACAAATTCCTGAAGCTTGAACAAATGTCTGTATGTTCAGTTGCTTTTTAGCTAAGAAGAAAATACCCAACAGGACCACTGTACTACTTCTATTCACTGTCACCTAACACTAAGAACTTCATGTCTTAAAGTTAGACTTAAAACCTAAGATTCCTCACAGATACTTAACATTACTCAAATTCTATTACAACTGGAAGCAATGTATTCATTCAGCTATGCTATATCAAAATAGTCAGTTACCTTTTCTTTGGAGTACAAGCCAAAAATCCTGATTGATTTATCAGTGAATCTTCATCTGCGGCAATTGTGGAAGTACTTTCTTCTTAAATCTGTTTGGGAAAAAAAAATAGCATAAGAATAAAATAGTGGATACAAAGCTAATAAGAAATCTATAATCTTATTAGGTGCCACACGTTTTAAATTATTACATGTGTTTTTTTATTTTTTATTTATTTTTATTATTTTTTAAATTTAATTTTATTTTTTTATTATTAGTTACATTTTATTAACTCTGTATTCCACCTGTATCCCATTCCCTTATTCCCTCCCAATCTCACCCTCCCTCTCTCATCTCCTCCCTGCCCCTTTCCAAGTCCACTGATTGGGGAAGACCTCCTCCCCTTTCATCTGACCCTGTTTTATAAGGTATCTTCAGGACTGGCTGCAAAGTCCTCCTCTGTGGCCTAGCAGGACTCCTCCTCCCTTGGGGGGGGGGGGAGGAGGTCAAAGAGCCTGCCACTGAGTTCCTGTCAGAAATAGTCCCTTACTATACGAAACCAATTGGTTACTGAGCTACCATGGGCTTCATCCAAGCAAAGGTTCTAGGTTATATACATACATGGTCCTTGGTGGAGTGTCAGTCTCAGAAAAGACCCCTGTGCCCAGATATATTTGGTCCTTGTGGAGCTCCTATTCTTTCCACATCATACTAACTCCCCTTCTACCGAAGGTTTGGTTATGAATCTTAGTACCTGTTTTGAAACACTGATAGGTAGAGTCTACATGCTGGAGAGGTGTGGAGAAAGGGGAACCCTCCTCCATTGCTGGTGGGAATGTAAACTGGTACAACCACTTTGGAAGTCAATCTGGTGCTTTCTCAGACAGTTAGGAATAGTGCTTTCTCAAGACCCAGCTATACCACTGCTAGGTATATACCCAAAATTTGCTCAAGTACACAATAAGGACATTTGCTCAACCATGTTTGTAGCAGCTTTATTTGTAATAGCCAGAACCTGGAAACAACCCAGATGTCCATCAACGGAGGAATGGATACAGAAATTGTGGGTTTTTTTAGACAATGGAATACTACTCAGCAATCAAAAACAAGGAAATCATGAAATTTGCAGGCAACTGGTGGGATTTAGAAAAGATCATTCTGAGTGAAGTATCCCAGAAGGAGAAAGACAAACATGGTATATACTCGCTTATATAGACCTACAAGATATGATAAACATAATGAAATCCATACACCTAAAGAAGATAAACAAGAAAGCGGACATGGGGTAAGATGATCAATCCTCACTTAGAAAGAAAAATGGGATGTGCACTGGACGTATGACAGGAGTCTACCACGGAAGGCATCTGAAAAACTCTACCTAGCAGTGTTTCAAAGCATATAAGACTCATATTACATGTGTTTTGAAGCTAAAATTCAAGGCACTTTAACAATTCGTCAACAAATGCAATTTATTTTTATGATGAACTTAATTCACTGGATTTATAAAAAAAAAAAAAAAAGTAGAAACCAATCACTGACTAGTCAAATATGTCCAGAGTCAATATCTTTGGGCTTAAAAACCATTGTGTGAATTTTCCATTAATAATTTCCATTTAATTTGGGGAGAAAGGTGGGTTTGAGACAGGGTTTCTCTGTGAACTCTTGGCTGTGCTCTACTCCCTTTTATAGACCAGGCTGACCTCGAACTCATGAAGATCCACCTGTCTTTGCTTCCACAAGTGCTGGGATTGCAGGCAGGCACCACCATGCCCTGCAATGACCCACCATGCCCAGCTCCACTTAATTTTCAATGTTGCTATTTGAAAGCCCATGCCTATGAAACCTGTCAAATCATAGCTTCAAAATAACAGGCACACACTGAATATCTGGAATGCTGACTCTGCCCTTTACAATTCAACAGCATAAAAAAGCAATACAGATTTTAAACAGGAAAGAAAAACTCATTAATTTATCTTCCTAAAATGCACAATGAAATTGTGTCCTCTGTTATCTTTTTGTGTATGTATGTACTACACACAAAATGGGAGTACTATTTAATGTGAGGGGAGGCAGTGAAGTCAGTAATCAAAACATTGATGATTAACACACTAAAGTTTAAAACTAAGATGATATTCAACTTAAGAGAGAAGAGAGTAGCAAAGAGTGGCAATGACACAGCTGTGAGGCAAATACTGTCAGAGTACAAAACACAGGCAACCCAGGCATAGTGGCATATGTCTTTAATCCCAGCACATAGGAAGCAGATCTCTGTGAGTTCAAGGCTAGTCTGCTCTACATAATGAGTTCCAGGAGAGCCACAGCTACAAACTGAGACTCTGTCTCCAAAACAAAAACCACAGGCAGGTTGATTTCATATAGAAAATTCATTATGCACACATTTCTACTGTAATTTCCACTGTCTATATAACAAGGGAAGTGGTGAGAAGACTGGCTGGTCACCTTTTATTTTCACACACTTCTAAATGGGAACGTACACAGTTCCATGCCTTGAGATGTTGAGATACCAATGCACTGTCCCAGAAAGTCAGTGACTAACATTCTAT